AACGGTTTTCTGATAGTGACACCAACTCTCCCTTAACATTTGAAAAGACACCTGGAGCCTGTCCTTCCTCCACTTTCGTTCAGCTTTGCGACACTGCCGCCTAACGGCTCGTGTGACGTCATTCAGCCAAGGCTCTGATTTAAGTTTCGTTTTTCTGGTCTTAAGGGGAGGAACACGGTCCAGAACATTTAAACAGGCAGAGTTGAACTGAGAGGTTAGCTCCTCAGTGGTAAGAGACACCGGGAACTGTTCGATCCTCTCAGAATTAAAACCTTCATTAAAACGAGCAGCAGTGAAATGGTTAATGGAACGCGTACGTGCAGGAACGCGCGTCTTAGCAGTAGGACAAGGGGGGGTGAAGTCAAACAATACAGGCATGTGATCTGAAAAAACATTGTCACTGATTTTCAAATTAGAAACAGAGACATCGCGTGTTAAAACGAGGTCCAGCGTGTGACCATGTTCCTGGGTGGGGCCGCTCACCTGCTGAGTTAAATTAAAAGAGTCAAATAAATCCAGAAAGTCCTTCACTAAGAGCTTCTCCTGACAACACACATGCCAATTAAAGTCACCAATAAACAAAAAGTGAGTGTATCTCTGTGTGATATCAGCCAAAAAGTCAGAGAATTCATTTATGAAGTCCTTAGAACGAGGTGGGCGGTAGATGAGCGCACACAGGACCGGAGAAGAGTGTCCAAGTTCAAAGGCGCTCAGCTCGAAGCTGGCGCGGGACACCGGGATGGACAACTGTTTACAGGCAAAGTTTGCTTTAAAAACTGTTAATAATCCCCCCCTGCGCCGACCTGATGGCCGCGGGGCATTGAAACACAGACAGTCCAGTGGTAGTAATTCCACCAAGGCGCTGGACTCACCATCAGAAATCCAAGATTCCGTGACGAACAGAAAATCCAACTCCTCATCTTTAAAAAAGTCATTGAGGATAAACGTCTTGTTGGAAACAGACCTTGCGTTGATTAAACACATCCTGATATTGTTCAACACAGGCACAGCCGTGGAAGGAGAAGCGCGCGCCAGCGGGCGCAGGTTATGAAGAACAGCTCCTCCTGGTCTGCTGGTGCGGCGCACAGGTAAACAACTCCAGGTGTTTCCATGGACTGAGCGCGCGGGCAGCTGGCCAGCAGCCGGGCCCCGGGAGCACCACGGGTCAGAGAGGAGATGATCAGATCCAGAGCGAGTCCTGTTAGAATAATCCACACTTTGCCTCAGTTTCACCAAAATCCCTGCACGCTTCCCACGACGTCTGCGAC